CACAGTGGAAGCAATTCTGACCTCCTTTATTACCTTTGGGTGGCACTGTATATGAGTAAGACTTCCTTTTCCTGACACAGGCCCTAAATTGGCAGCAATAGCTGCCCCAATAATTTTGGCCATTCTCTGGTCTTTTCCCTCTAGATCCCAGTTGTTAAAAGAGGGGAAAATTTAAGTAAATGTATAACAAATAATTTTGAACATTATATTGACTAATTTTTGTATGTTGATCTTACATCCTCCCACTTCACAGAATTGTTCTACTATATCCAGCAGTTTTATTGTTGAGCCTTTGAAGTTTTCTGTGTACACTATCATATAATCTACTTGTGGAGATCGATCATTTTACCACCTCTTTATTGATTTGGATGCTTTTTTGTTTTCCTAATTCATCCTGCTTAGATTAATAGCAGATTATAAGAAGTCTCAGGTCAACATAGTCCCAAATGCTTAACCAGCTGTATAAGTCCATACTTTCTATTATTAACAATTCCATCCATGGCTCAGTTCCCAAATTCCTCCATGGAATTCCTCCATGGAATTCAGTGATTTGCTAAAAGGTCTCCCAAAGACTCAGACTCGTTAGGGGAATAAGTAATAGCGGAAAGACAACTTGCTGTGCACAGCGTCTTCCGCTTTGTAAAAGAAAAAAGGGGGAGACGGAGCCAGAAGAGTTAATAAAGAAACAGTCTGCACACAGATGTCTCTTTGGCTTTCCTCAATCTGGATAGGGTGTGGGAGAAGACTGTGTCCTTGAGTCTGCAGACAGATGGGGACCTTGGATGCTTGAACACAAGGTCCAAGAATGTTCTTCTTCCGAAGGCATAGTCTTATTCCTTCTGGTAAACAGAGATAAAAAACCAAGAAAGATTTTGTGAGAATAGTCTGTGCTAAGCAAGTCTGGTTTCTGGTAAATAAGTTTTCCTCAAATCATGAGTGTCTGGAAAGAATGTACTTCCTGGATCATGTAGACTGCTTTTGGTAGACTATAAAAATAAAGCGATACAGGCCTTCGGGGCTCATCCCAGCTGCAGTCTTGTCTTGTATTGTTTGTGTGTTGTGTGTCTTTTGTGTTGCGTCCTTTGTTATTTCTTCCAGGTTAATTAGAGAAAAAGGGTCGAAACACTGCTAATGAGTATTCATTTCTTTTCTGAGTGATGAAAATCTTTGAATATTAGATTATGGTGATGGTTACACAATCCTGTGATGATACTAAAAGCCACGCAATTGTACATTTTAAATGGGTGAACTTTATAGCATATATTGTATCTCAATGAAGCATTTTTCTGAAAAAAAATCCTGCCCTCTCAGAGTTTATACTGTAGAAAGGAACTAGAAACACTAATCAACAGAATAATTTACACAGCGTATTAGATGATCAGCACACACTGTTCACTCAATAATGTTTAATCAATGGCACCCAGCCACCCTTACCCCAAACTATCTTACCTAACTTATTCCAACTCACCTGCTTTTCTCTTTTTTTTCCCACTTGCAGATTTGGCTGTCCATATATTTTCTTGAGTCACTTACTGTAAGTATAACATTGTCCACAGGGCCTAGTATCTTCAACCTAGGCCTGGTCACATGAGGCCTTAACTCTCAGGAGACCTACAAGGTTCCAGCACACTGCAAATTGACCAGAAGCTGCCTGAGTACAAGGCAATGGTCGTGGTTGCAAGTGGCATGGAGAAGAGTGTACCGTCTATCTAGCTGAAAATCCACGATCCTATGACCCAGGATCCCTACTAGAAAGACCTGCCTCTGGGCGTTGGAGCTGCATCCTAACTAAACTAGGAAAAACAGGGCAGGCAACTCATAGGGTCCTTCATGACCAGAGAGCAGCTGTCAGTTATGGTGTGTTGGATATCTTTGCCCTTGATGACCCCACATCCCTAGCCCAGCTAGAGCAAATGCAGGCCAATTTGGGACCTTAACCACACCCAGGCCTTCATCCTGGTGGGCAACAAGTGTTACTTTATGACTGCTGCTGGAGATGCTCATCTTGTTACTGTAGCTCTCTCTCAGAGCAAAGGGTACCCCTTTGAGGAGACCGCAGCCACCATCCCCCAAGGTGTAGTTGTTGTTGCTAGGTGCCATTGAGTATAACTCATAGCTGCCCTATGAACAACCAACCTGAACAATGTCCGGATTTGAACACTGTCGAAGTGTGGAGAAGGCCTTTTCTCTGCTTGTCCATGAGATCTAGAGGGTCTAAGAGGCCATGGAAGGAGCCACTGGGTATAAGGCCAGGTACGAGAAGGCCATGTGGCATTGTGGCTGCTCCATAACATAAATGACTTGAGGCCTCCTCTCTGGCCAGGGCATGAATTCATTTTATTTGAGACTCCCAGAGAATCTATCTGGGAAATCATTGGTTACTGAGAATAGATGTTTCTCTTGGGTTGGTTTTCGCTTAGTGTTGTGTTGAGAGATTTTGAGCAAAATTAAAGAAAACATATTCCTATATTTCCAAGTTGTTTCCATGCAGCTTATCTGGATGGAAATGAAACTGGGTAAAATGTTTGCATGAATAATTTCTTTATAAGAATTAGTACAAAGCAGGTTCCCAAAAGGTAGAAGTTAAAAATTTCCAAGTTTTCCAAATTGTTGTACCACTTCATCATCAACATCAACTCTTTCTCATCCTCTCAGCTCTTTTACTGCCATCTGTGTCTTGGCAACCTGTAACTTTCTGTAATGTCTCACAGAAACTCACAAACTGTCAGGAAAATGAGTCACATAGTTGTGGAGGTTAACAAGCCCCAAATCAATGGATTAGGTTCCGGGCTGCAGGACTCTGCTGGCCCATGTGGCCAAAGGAGCTGATGAAAGCAACTGCAGATGCAATATCCAGAGCAAAAAAATAATTCATATAGACACAACATTCTTATTGTTGAAGGGGGGGTGTTAAAGGCAAATGACAGGAATGATCCTTAGATAAGGTCAAGGAAAGTTACTGAGCAGATGACATTTAGATAAATGTACAGCTATCTGGCGGCAGAGGGAGTAGCCAGTGCAAAAGGCTTGCCCAAAACCCACCATATCAACTCCCATTATCTTCAGGGCCTCTAAAGTATGTAACAATATACTTAAAAATTACAAAGCCAACAAAATCTGTCCTCTCCTCTTGTCTTGCTATGTGCTGTTGGGTTTGAATTTCAGAAGTAAATCACACAAGAGAGTACCCATCTTTATCCCAAGGAACAGTGAGTGGATTCCAACCACATGCTTTTGAGTTGGCAGATCAACTCTTTACTCACTTGGCCATCAGAGCTCCCCACTCCTACCTTGAGGATACATTTTATAAATGGCCTGGACACCTGGGTTCTAATTTCTCAGACCTTTTTCCTATTCCTTCTTTTTATACTTTAAAGCCCTACCTGCATGTTGAGAACTTTTAAGTCTACATTGAATAGCCTGACCAGTAGAGGTCACACTTTCTGCTCACATGCCTCATAATCAGCCATCCCTTGACCCTCCTTGTCCCTAGGGATAATGGATCAAAACTTTTTAGGCACCATGGTACCTGGGTGACATCCCAAAAGTGGGTACTGCCACTGTCCATGCTCAGATTAATATTGGGGTATGTGATGTAGTGTAAGCATGTCTCTAAAGTGCAGAACCCATGGCAAAGACCTTTCTGCCCATATCTGAAAGGTGAGCACCACTACCCACCAACTCCTATAACACTGCCATTAATACAAAAAAAAGGACATAGCTGCTTTATATATTTATTGTGGGGCCAGGAGGTGGGTATCTTGGGGTTGAAGAGCAGTTACGTGGTTAGCCAGGGTAAGTCGTTCTCAATTGGGTAGTCTGGGGGTCAGAGGTATGGGAGATCCTGGGTCCTGGAGTGTGCAGGTACTTAGGGAGGCAAGAAGCGATGCATTGGCACCTGGCGTGCAGGGGGATCCAGGCGTTTTACTCGAAGCAGTGCCCCCAGCACACCTTCAGGTAGCAGCTCAGGGCCCAGATCCTGGTCAGCAATCCGGTCAGCAGCCCGGCGGAGGCGGCGTGGGGTGGCCATCGTCTTGAGGTCTGGGCTTCCCGTGAGGAGCTGCCCCAGCAAGTACCTGCAGTTGAGTGAGAAATGGAATGCTGCTGAGGATATGTCTGCCCAGGATATGAGTCCCTACCCAGTCACAGTCCATAACCTCTTACTGTCTGTTGATCCTGCCGCCTCACTTAGGTGTTTCTTGTTTACTGTTTCTGGGAGACAGACCACTCAGTCCTCTTTCCATCTTAGAAGTTATCTGCCCTGCCTTCTCAACCTACCTGTAGAAACCAGGTATCAGAGCCCCCTTCTCTGGCACCTGGAGTCCATGGCCAATCTTGCTTTCTTCTCCTACCCACCCACCCAAATATCTTTGTTCTTATTCCCTAGATCTGGGACCCCACTATCTCCTAAGATCACAAGGCTCTATCCTTTTCAGGACCAGAGTGGTCCACCACCTCATTCTGTGGAGTCAATGATGCCCTTCCCCCTTTTGCTAAGGTACCTCAGCAGCTCGGCGTCCACATCAGGAGCCTCCTCACCAGCGTCTTTGGCATCAGGGCCCACAGTGCTGTCATAATAGGCTCGGGGCCGGGTTCGGAGCACAGGGACAAGCTGAACAGCTAGTGCTGTAGGGTCTAAGCGGGCATGAAGCAGGGCACGTGTGAGTTGTGCTGTGGACGTACTGGGGTCATCATCCTGACCTAGACCCAAGTCTGATGTGTGAGGTGCATCCCAGAGGTGCAGCAACTGCGCCAGGACACGCGTTTGTTGATCCTCCACCTCTTGCGCCTCAGCTCGTGCCCGCTCCTGCCTTTCAGCCTCCAGCACGTGTGCCAGAGCGCGTGCCAGTTCTTGCATTGCCCCTGCTGCCTCTCCTCTGGTCTCTGCCTGCCTGAATCCACGTGAGGCGCTAACCTCAGCCAGGGGTGGTGAGGGTGCACCCAAGCGTCGGGGCTCCTGCAGGAACACGAGATTGGAGAGGGGGAGCAGATGAATGTCAGTGTCCATTCAGCTAAGGAACTTCAATCATGTCCATGGTCCTCAAATATGCCAGTGTCACTATGGACACCGTGCAACCCCAGTTATATATGTAGCCACCTCTATTCATTCATTCATTCATTGCTGTCCACTTGAAACTGACTCATAATTGACCCTCTTGTGGATATTCAGAAGCAGTACATCTCACAGGAGAAGACTGCCCATCTTTCTGCTGTGGAGCAAATTCAAACTGTATGTCTAACTACTGTTGTTGTGTACCGTCCAGTCAGAAGTGACTCAGCTGACCCTTCAGTTGGTATTTAGAGGCAGTTAACTACAGGGGAAAAGACTGCCCATCTTTCTTCCCGAAGCAGCTAGTGGATTTGAACGGCATGCCTTTGGGTTGGCAGCACAATTGCTTACCACTAAGCCACCAGAGCTCCCTCTCATTCCACAAGACCACTTCAGAAACCCATTGCCTTCTTGTCAGTTTCAATTCATAGTGACCCTCTATCGAGTTTCTAAGGCTGTAAAGACCAATGGAAGGGGACTGCCCATCTTCCTCCCACAGAGTCGATGGTGTATTTGAATTTCTGGAGATGCCAGGCCTTTAGATTAGCAGCACAAGTCATTATGATCACCAGAGATAAGGTTACAAGAGACCTTCCAATATTTTCAGAAACATTGAAGAGTACCTAATATTTCTACATACTAAGTGATTTGCCCTAGGTGCCTTGGGGACCATCAGTCATACTTTTGTTCATTCCCCAAGTTTCCCAGAAACTTCTCTAGCAACATTAAGGGGCTTGCAGAGTCCCTCCAACATAAAAACAAACTCACTTCCATCTAGTAGATTCTGACTCATAGCAAACAAGGCCTCAAGAAACTCCAAGTATTTCTGTAGAACCTCAAGACTGTCTCCATCCTAAATCCCTTAAACATCCCCAGTGAGTGACTTCTTAGTGATTTTCCACTAGAAACCATAACAAATACCCTAAAGAACTTCAGACACCAGCAGACCTAGATCTTCCAGTGATGTCCTAGTGACTCCCAGGACTACTTCAGACTTCTTGAGATCACCAGAGATTCCAATTACCTGTAGTGATAGTTGCTGAACACCAGCAACTACCAAGAGCCAGACTTTTATACATCTAGTGACAACAGTAACACAAAAAACACACACAGCAAGCCCAAATTCACACTAGACGACTTGAAAGAATGTATGTAGCTTTCATTTCTGGTAATTTGAAAATAAACCCCCTACATTTCTGAAAACAAATAAACTCCCCCTGATCCTCCTCTTGATCCCTCTTATACTTATCCTGATAAGGGCTTAAAAATACTAGATCTTGGCTCAGGGCAAGCCGTCTTCAGCCCTCAGCTTGGGGCGAGCTGTCTTCGGCCCTCAGCTCAGGGCAAGTCATCTTCAGCCCTCGGGGTGAGCTCCTCGGCCCTCAGGTTGTGCCATCTGACCCCTGGGTAGAAAAAAACTGCCTAGGGTATACAGAGAATTTTATCTAGGCTACTTTCCTCCACCCTCTCCCCCAGTACACCTGTAAGTAACACCCTCAAACCCTTCTATTTGTAACTCACAAGTTTGTTCTCTCTAGGTTTGCTCCCTTTTCTATAGGTAACCTTAACACTGAGTTTTACTACAGACCTGACCCTGAACCCAGTTCCAGAGACAAAAAGAAAATACAACTGCCAGCTAAGGAAGCAAAGGAGGATGGAGCCTCAGGGATCAGGGATCAGTCAGCCATCCCCACTGGACCCACCTGGGAAAACATTCTGCAGTCCAGAGGGGAGTAAATGTCAGGAAAATATCTTCTAACAGGACAAGAAGGCAAGCAGCTTTAACCCAAGACCACCAGTAAGGTGATAAAGTGTGCTCCCTTTCCCCCTTCACATCAATGCCCCTGTTCAGCATGAAGAAGTCAGAGAGTCTGTGCCCAATTCCTAAATGAGAAACCCACAAGTGAAAAAGACAGTTTGTTTAATCACCATTGGACTATGCTTACCATTGCCCTGTATCATCTGGTCCCCACTGGATCCTTTTCATTTCCTTCACCTGCTTCCCCCACCAACCAAACTGTGCAGCTATACAACTGCATCCCTGCAATTTTCTTCCCTGTCCGTCCTCACCCTTCTGCTCCCAACCCTCACCTCCTTGTATCCCCAACATATTTTTCCCAGTAAAATTAAACACACACACACACACACAGAGAGAGAGAGAGAGAGAGAGAGAGAGAGAGAAATCCTAAAAAAAATTTAAAAAAGAAACAACTGGATCTGTGAAGTGTAGTTTTCCAGCGAAGACTGTGGAAGTGACAGTTTTGTGCTATCCCAGTGCCGGAGATTAGGTCACCGTGAACTAACAGCAAAGCCGGACCTCCCAGCCTCCTCCCTGCTGATGCACCTGTGTGAGTGATCTTCACTGTTCAAGAGGGATGCACAACAGCTGCAGCATGAACTTGAAGCAAAACAATTAATCCTCTGCCTGGCATTTGCTGGAGTCAAATTGTACCAAAGGGGGAGATTGGAAGCAAAAAAAATACAAAGACTGGAGGTTGAAAAGAAGAAACAATCAGAGAAGAAAGAGAACTAAAAGGGAAACTAAAGAATGTGCCATTTAATTGTCTATGTTGTTAAACTCTGAGAAGAAAGAAAATTTGATTATTGAATGATGTGTCAGAAGATAAACTAGTAGCCTTTAGCTTTAACTTAAAATTATGTGAATTTTTGTATGCTTGTATAAAATCTGGTACAACTACAGTACTTTGTTTACTAAAATAAAATACCTTCATAAAAAAATACTGGACCTATAATTTTAAAATACATTTTCAAAGGCACCAGAAAATATCTACTTTTTAAAATGCCATATTATCTTTAATTATGTAAAACCCTCTGCATTCAGATAACCTAGAGTTCATTTCATTCACTGCAGCTCTCCTGTCTCTCTCTTCAGCAATGGTGAAGCAGATACCTTTATCCTTAGGGAAGAGAAATCCATGGTTTGCTGCCTTTGCCAATAATAAAAATTCTTAGAAAGCCAAGTGGCAAAGTCGGCGCCATTGGCATCTTTCACAAGAACCACATCAAAAGAGCCAACATGTCTCTGTTAATGTTCACACCATTTCTCCCAAGGTTAGCACCTCTATTTATCATATACAGGATTCCAGTGCCAAACTTGATGAAATCAGTAATGTTTCCAGTCTCCAAATCAATCTGAATGGTGTTAATTCACTTCGATGAGAGGATCAGGGTAGTGGATAGTTCGAGTATCATGGGATGAGGGATTCCTTTGGTGCCCACAAAGATCTTTATTACTTTGTACTACTTGCTCTTTGCCTCCTCAGGTGTAATGTAATGAACAGCAAATCAGCCTTTTGTGTCATAGATCAAATGGAAATTCTCTCAGGCCTTATCAGTACTAATTACATCCATAAAGCCAGTAAGGTTTAGTGACTGGGGTAATGGAGGTGGGTGTTTTGGAGACAGTAAGATTGGCACAGGATAGAGCAGGTGATAGGGCTGTTGTATGATCGCTATGAGTCACAGGCGACTCAATGCACATAAAAACAATAATCTCATTGTTTAAAATAAACTTATCCCTATTACACAAGTCACTGAACCAATCCATCTCATTGAGGATCTTCCTCTCTTGCGCTGTCCCTCCACCCTCCCAAGCATGATGTCCCTCTCCAAGGACTGGCCCTGCCTTCTTGCAACATGTCCAAAGTATGTCAGATGAAGCTTCAGAATCCTTGCCTCCAAGGAGCATCCTGGTATCACCCTCTCAAGGGTGAAGCTGTTTGTTCTCCTAGCAATCCATGGTATATTCAATACTCTTCTCCAGCACCACAGCTCAACGGCATCAATTCTTCTATCATTCCTAGTCATTGTCCAGATTTCTGATGCATAGCAAGTAATTGCAAAGACTAAGACCTGGATCAGGCATACCCTAGTCTTCAGACTGACATAAATTCATATAACACATATATTATATAAATAATGTATAATAGATATATTAAATATATTATTCTATTATATGAATAAATAATATACATGATATAGAATATTTTCTAATACATTAGATGTTGTTGTTACGTGCCGTTGAGTCGCTTGCGACTCATAGCGACCCTATGCACAACAGCCCTAAACCCTGTTCTATCCTGTGCCAATCTCACTGCCTCTGACACACCTAACCCGATTACCCCAGTCACTGAATCAATCCACTTCATAGAGGGTCTTCCCCTTTTGTGCCGTCCCTCCACCCTCCCAAGCATGATGGCCCTCTCCAAGGACCTCTCCTTCTTTACAACAAGTCCAAAGTATGTCAGACGAAGCCTCAGAATCCTTGCCTCCAAGGACCAGACTGGTTTAACCCTCTCCAGGATGAATCTGTTTGTTTTCTTGGCAGTTCATGGTACAGTCAATACTCTTCTCCAGCACCACAACTCAAAGGCATCAATTCTCCTTCTATCCTCCTTAGTCATTGTCCAACTCTCTGATGCATAACAAGTGATTGCAAAGACCATAGCCTGTATCAGACGCACCTTAGTCTCCAGAGTGACACCATTGCTCTTCAGTACCCTAGAGAGGTCCCTAACAGCAGACTTTCCCATCGCAATACGTTTTTTTATTTCCTGGCTACAGGTGCCAAGAGTGTTGACCATGGAGCCAAGCAGACTAAAGTTGTTAACATTCTCAATCTCTTCACCATCCATCCTGATGCTGCCAATTGGTCCAGTGGTGAGAATCTTTGTCTTCTTGATATTGAGCTTCAATCCATATTGAAGGCTGCAGTCAAGCATTTCAGGTCCTCCTCAGTTTCAGCAAGCAGGGCTGTCTCGTCTGCATAACGCAGATATATATTATATGAATATAATTATATTCTTATAATTCTGATACTCTGCATAATACATCTAAAAGTTGGCAAAACAAGAAAAATCTGATAATGTCACCTGTTGATGTGGAAAAAGGAATCATTACTGTTGGGAATTAAATTTATAAAAGAACTATGAGAAGCAATATGGCAAAGTAATGACACAGTGACTGCAACAATGAGCTCGAACATGGCAGAGATCCTGAGGATGGTGCAGGATAGGGCAAGGTTTAGATCTGTTGTTCATAGAGTTGCTATGAGTTGTAGTGAACTGAATGGCACCTAACAACAACAAAAATGATACAAATATCATATGACCCCCACTCCTAGAATATTGTACCTCAGAGTGACTTTTGAGCATATACAGTTGGACATAAATTCATTAAATATTATAGCACCATTGTTCATAATAGCATAAAATTAAGTGGGGGGAGACATTGTCTAGAAATAATCCAAATGTTTATTGACAGGAGAATGTATATATACTTTATAGTATATGCATACAATAAAATTAAAGCAAAGAGTTGCAGCCACATACGTCAATATTGATGAATCTCACAACATAAATAAAACAAAACAAAACACAAAAAAGTAAGAGAGAGATGAATTGCAGAATTCCACTACCAATTCTCTGAGACCATCCAAACGACAATGACCCAGGAGCTCATTCTCTAGCATGAATTCATTTCTACAGTGTTCAAAAGCAAGAGATGCATATATATGTGCTAAACAACAAACAAAAAGGCCAATGAGTAGAAAATACAGGATGATGATTGGAGGGGGGAGGGCACATGGTGAAGCTTATAAGTATTTGTCATGCTCTGCTTCTTAGCTGGCTGGTGGGTACATGAAGGGTATTATTTTATCATTATTCCTTATAATTTGCATACACATCATTGACTCAGCTAGTCCTGAAGAGTCAAAAGAGAATAGTGATTCAGGAGTCCTTATTTAGCATTAGACTCCAGGGATCTCACCAGCAACCACTGTCTCAATCTGGCATATGGACTGGCAGACTCTGAACGATCTCCCATGCAATCCAACATTCACATACATTCACACACAAAGAACTACACACGCTCATGAGTGCTTAAGTAGTTGTAAAGGCCTAGCCATCCAGATGCAAGGTCATGCTCTATCTTAAAAACAATGCAGCAGAGAGACAGCATGGTTCCTCTCCTTACAAGGACAGCTCCATGAAGAAATAGTGAGAAGCAGCCTCATGAACATACATACAAAATCTCAGGCACTCAGTATAACAGAATAAAAATAAACTGCTTACAAACAACAATAATCAAAATACTCGCTCTCGAAAGAAAACGAAATAGAACTGATTTACCAATACGCCTGTACACACTGCTACTACATAAACTCACACACTCACACACACAAATGCATTCACAGTGTCACTGGGAAAACAATTGGGCTCATAAAAAGTCATACACAGGAGCAGTATCTTTACTGCTACATACACATTATACACCTGGACACACAATCATAGGGATGCATGAAAATGGTATGAAAGGACTCACACAAGGACACAGCACCTCCACATCCATGTCACCCCCATCATGGGAACACAGACCAAGAGGCTCCATCAACATGTCCAAGTGCCACCGGCACCACAGGCAGAGCAAGGCTTAGTCTAGCCTAAGTGCAGGGAGTGGGCAGGGCGCTGCCCTGCTCCGCTTGAGTCCCAGTCACCACCTTTGAGCATAAAAAATAGTTAAAAAGAATAAACTATGATTAATGAAGCAAAGGGGAAACTTTTACGAACTTTGTAAATAAACCAGTATAAAATAAAACTTTTTAAAAAGAGAAAAAATAGAAATTATCCCTTTTAAAACAAAATAAACTGTTTATATAATTTAAAAAAACCACTGCTGAGCCTGGTCTAGGGTGCGCCGGCACCGCCTAGGCATGGACTGACACCTTTTTCACACCTTTGCATGCCCCAGGAAGGATTTGGATCATCCAGTGAGGGTGCGGCAGGTGGCACTGACCTTAGCTCACTTGTAACATCCACCTCCCTGCCCCCACCCGCACCAGGCTGGGGCCGCACCTTTATGAGCCGTGCACCGAGCATGAGAGACGGCCGAAATAAGCCCAACAGCAGCAGCACCAAGAGGCCTAGGCCCGCGGCCCGTGGCTGGCAGAGCAGCGGTGAACTGGTCATGCTGCTCCAGCGAGCCTGGCTCCGGACGGGAGGACTGGCAGACAAATGCGCAGTGCCCGGGTTGCCACTAAGGCTGCGGTCCTCTGCGGCTGCGCGCGCTCACAAACAGCGGCCTTTTCTGCTCCTCCCCTCCCGCCATTCTCTGTAGTCGCAGTCTCAGTTCTGGGACAGCCCCTTCATACCACTGGTCTCCATGGAGATGCATAAGGGGCAAGGTGAAGTGTTGGAGCCTGCAATGCAGTTGCTGGCAATTGGAGGTCAGTTGCCAGGGCAACAAACCTTGCTGTCCTACCACCCAGACAGGAAATAACGGTTCAGTAGGACAGAATAACAGCCATTTGTAATTTCTCCGTCCTTGGATTGTTGTTGTTGTGTACCATGGAGTAGGAACCGACCCATAGCTGACCACCAAGTGCGTTTTCAGAGGCAATAATCTCACGAGAGGAGATTGCCCTGTCCTTCTCCCGAAGAGCAGCTGGTGGATTTGAACCAAAAGCTGTCAGTATTGCAGTGCAGATTCTTACCACTAAGCCACCAGAGCTCCTTCCTTTATGGAGAAACAACCAAAGATCATGTGCTGTGGATCGAACTCATCACAGGACAATGTGTTTGAAGCCAGGTAGTGTGACCATTGACAGAATTTTTCTAAGGCTTAGCATCACTCCTGCATAAAGGCTACCTAGGAGCAGTCTTGAAGAATTAAAAACGGTATTCCGCAGAAGATCAATACATATTCTTTTACATCTTTTTATTAATAGTTTTCTTCATCTCTCCATGGCTCCCTATGTTTCTTTTTTTGTTGTTATGTGCCTACAGATCTCTCTGCCTTCCTCTCCCCATCTATCTCTTCAGTTTCTGTTTTCTCTATCTTCATGTCTCCAACTCTCCCTCTTACTTCTATCTCCATTGTGCTGTCTGCAGCTCCTTGTTTCTCCATAAACAGTTTTTTACCCCTAACTTGTTCAGTAAAGGATTTAAAACTACTTAAAATGATACATCAAGGCAACAAGATTTTTGGTAAATTGTATGTGTATTCATTGGAGCCGAAGAGAAGATTTCAAAGGGCAGTGCAGGAAGACAAAGTATTAAATTGAAATGTGCAAAGAGCTGGAGTCAGAAAATCAAAAGGGCAGAACTTGCTTTGCCTTTCTTAAGCTGAAGGAACTGAAGAACAAATTCAAGCCTTGAATTGCAATACTTAAGGATGCTTTGGGCAGAATACTAAATTATCCAGAAAGCGTTAAAAGAAGATGGAAAGAATATACAGAGTCATTGTACCAAAAGGAATTGGTGGACACAGAAGAAATTAATGAAACAACATATGAGCAAAGGCCTGTGGTGATAAAGAAGTTCAAGCTGCTCTGCAAAAATTGGCAAAAAACAAGACCCTAGGAATTGGCGGCGTACCAGTTGATATATTTCAACAAACAGACACTGCCCTGGATGTACTCACCAAGTTGTGCCAAGAAATCTGAAGGACAACCACCTGGCCAACTGACTGAAAGAGATCCATATTTGCTCCCATTCCAAAGAAAATTATCGAACAATATCACTAATACCTCATGCAAGCAAGATTCTGTTGAAAATTATTCATAAACGACTGGAACAGCACATCAACAGACAACTGCCAGAAGTGCAGGCTGGGTTTAGAAGAGGCCATGATACTAGGGTTAGCTAATGTTAGATGAATCTTGGCTCTGGTAGGGAGTACCAAAGAAATGTCTATCTGTGTTTCATTGACTTTGACTTTGTGGATCACAACAAACTGTGGCTGACTCTGAAAATGGGAATCTAAGAACACTTGATTGTGCATATGCGAAACCGATACTTGGACCAGGAGGCAGTCATCAGAACGGAGCAAGGAAACACTCCTTGGTTCAAAATCGGGAAGGGTGTATGCCAGGGATCTGTCGCCCTAACTCCATACCTTTTCAATGTATATGCAGAACAGATAATGTGGGACGCTGAGCTGTACGAGGAGAAATGTGGCATCAGGATTAGAGGAAGATTGATCAACAATCAGTGTTATATAGATGACACAACCCTGCTTGCTGAAACAGAGGAGGACCTGAAGCGCTTGCTGCAGAAGGTCAAAGACTGCAACCTTCAATATGGATTGAATATCCAGAAAACAAAGATTCTCACCACTGGACCAATTGGTAGCATTAGGATGGATGGTGAAGAGACTGAGATTGTTAACAGCTTTAGTTTGCTTGGCTCCACAATCAACACTCTTGGTACCAGCACCCAGGAAATTAAGAGATGAATTGCATTGGACAAGTCTGCTGTTAGAGACTTCTCTAGAATACTGAAGAACAACATTGTCAGTCTGGAAACTAAGGCCTGATCGAGGCCATAGTCTTTGCAATTACTTGTTATGCATCAGAAAGCTGGACAATGACTAGGATGATTGCTGTTGTTATGTGCCATTGAGTCACTTGCAACTCCTAGCAACCCTATATAAAAGAACCCTAAACCCTGCTCTATCCTGTGCCAACCTCACTGCCTCTGACACACCTACTCACAGTACCCCAATCACTGAATTGATCCATCTTATAGAGTGTCTTCCTCTCCTGCGCCATCCGTCCACTCTCCCAAACATGATGCCCCTCTCCAAGGACTGGTCCCTCCTTGCGACATGCCCAAAGACGAAGCTTCAGAATCCTTGCCTCCAAGAAGCAGCCTGGATTCACCCTCTCCAGGACAAACCTGTTTGTTCTCCTGGCAGTCTATGGTATATTCAACACTCTTCTCCAACACCACTGTTCAAAGGCATCAATTCTCTTTCTATCATCCCTAGAAACTGTTCAGCTCTCCGATGCATAGCATGCAATTGGGAAGACTATAGCCCGGATCATGTGCACCTTAGTCTCCAGCTGACTTTGTTGCTCTTCAGTACTCTGATGATAGAAGGAAAATGAATGCCTTTGAGCCGTGGTGCTGGAGAACAGGACTGAATATACCATGGACTGCTAAGAGACCAAACAAGTGAGTGCTGAAGAAGTGAAGCCAGGCTGCTCCTTGGAGATAAGGATTCTGAAGTTTCATCTGACATACGCCGGGTATGTTGCAAGAAGGGACAAGTCATTGGGATTGATTCAATCACTGGAGTAGTGGGGGTAGGTGTGTCAGAGACAATAATGTTGGCACACAATAGAGCAGGGTTTAGGGCTGTTGTACAGGGTCTCTATGAGTCGCAAGTGACTTGATGGCACATAACTAACATTCATTGGAGGAAAAGGCTGAGAAGGAATGGTAACAATGGAAATTTTTTGATGGGGAGATAACTGTGGTCTATCACTTTATCCTATAAATTTTTCTTTGTTTTGTAAAAATGTTATAATAAAAATGTATTATAAGAAGATAAAATTTTTCATTTTATAGTCAAAATAAAGTATGATAAGTTATGATAAATTAAGAAAATTATTCATGCTTGTTACTGTGACTATATCTAGCATATTGATTCTAGCTGCTTCCGTTTCCTCAGTATTACAAACTTTACAATAAAATTCCTCATATACATCTGCTTATGGAGCTGAATTTTAATACTAAGGAATAGTGTAATGGACAGATTCTAAAGCAGCTTCTATGTTCCTAAGCTCTTCGTTGTTAAGTGGCATTGAGTCTATCACAACTTAGCACTCTTATGAACAATGAACCTGAGCTTTGCCCTATCTTGTGCCATCCTCACCATCTCTGATATCCTTGAACCCATTGTTTTACAGTCACCATGTCAATCCATCTTGTTGTGGTTTTTCCTCTCTTTCACTGACACTCAATCTTTCCAAGCAGAATGGCCTTTTCCAAGGACTGTCCCCTGCTAACAACATGGCAAAAGTATATGAGATAGAATTTCACTACTCTTGTCTTCAAAGAGCACCTAGGTTTCGCTTTCTCCAGGACAGACCTGTTTGTTCTCTTGACAGTCCATGGGGTATTTAGTACTCTTCTTCAACACTACAACTCAAAGGCATCAATTTTTATTCTGCCATCTTTAGTCATTGTCCAGCTCTCAGATGCACCTTAGTCTTTAAATTGACATTTTTCCTCTCTAGTGTTTTGGAGAGGTCCTTAATAACAGACTTTCCCAATGCAACACATCTTTTGATTTCTTGACTGCTAATACTAAGGGTGTTGATTGTAGATCCAAGCAATGGGAAATTGTTGACAGCTTCAATTCCCCCCCCCCATCTATTATGATGATGCCTATTGACCCATTGGTGAGGATTTTTGTCTTCTTCATGTTGATTGTAGTCCATATTGAAGGCTGTAATCTTTAGTCTTTTGAGGGAAGTGTTTAAAGTTCTCACTTTCAGTCAGCAAAGTTGTGTCATCTCAGATTGTTGATGAGTCTTCCTTCGATCTGATGCCACAATTTTTCCCCCATGAAGTCTGGTTTCTCAATTGAATTGTTCAGCATTGTTGTTGTTGTTGTTATGTGCCATCAAGTGGCCTGAGACTCACAGCAAACCTATGTAAAACAGTCCTAAATCCTGCTCTATTCTGTGCCAATCTTGTTGTCTCTGACACACCTACTCCCATTACCCCACTTACTGAATCAATTTATCTCATAGAGGGTCTTCCTCTCCTGCACTGTTGCTCCATCCTCCCAAGCATGACGTCCCTCTCTAATTACTGGTCCCTCCTTGCAACATGTCCAAAGATTTGTTCAGCATGGGGACTGAATAGATATGGAGAAAGGACACAGTCCTGATGCACACCTTTCCTGACTCTAAATCATGCAGCATTGGAGAAAAAAAAATAAAATTGAAGTTGTTATGGACTTCATTTTGCTTAGATCCACAATGAACTCATGGCTGTTGTTTCTGTTGTCAAGCTCTGCTGAGATGATAATGATTTGGAGGAACCCTATGAATAGTGTATCTGAATCCTACCCTATGCCGTGCCATCCTCACCACCTCTGATACACTTGAGTCAATTGTTACAGTGTCAAACTATCTCCCTGAGCATCTTCCTCTTTCTCTGCTCCTCCACCTTTC